AGGAGTATCTATAATAAAACTCTGCCAAATGCTGGAAATATGATCCACGACTCCACCTGATTAGGGCCAACAGCCGTTATGTGGAACATGTGCTCCTGCCTTGTGTACAGCTGCATACTACAGTGTAAACTATTTGTGGGCATGGCTCCAATGGGGTTTATGGCAGGCAAAATACTACCAGTGGATTTGATTACTGCCTGAGAACACACTGCAAATGCTGCAGCAAATTGCAATGCCTACAAAATAACCTTTTTGCAAGGGTTGCCTGATGTGTCCTCCTAGTGAGAAATTCCCCAGCCATGAGGAGATGGAGTTAAATGGCTCCCCACAGTTCTACTCTTTTCTTCCCTTCTTAAGGCTTTCAAGTTGTTTTTAGCACCGCTTCTCTGCCTTCTCCATGGCTGGCTGTCTTCCTTGCTGCAGAGGAAGCAAAGCAGAGGAAGCATGTACTGTCATGCCCAGGCTTCCAGGGTGGTCAGTCATTACAAGATCTATTGTCCATTTTGGCCAAATTTGCCATCTTTCACCCTATGGGGAAAGCGGAGTGGAATGCAGGGCATCTGAGGGTGGCTGCAAGCTGTCCTGTCCAGAACAGAGGGCAGCAAAAACATATGGCTTTTGTGACTCTGAATTCGAGGGACACATGAAAAACAACTTAATTTTCTCCTCTCCTTTCTGCTGGCAACTTTTATCATTTAGATTATCCAAATATTGGTGATGGGGTTGTTCTGAGGTGATCCTAGGCTGTACTCAAAAGCTTCCTCCCCATGAGGGGCAGGGAGGGCACAGGTTTCCTGTTTTTCCTTCCTCCCACAGTGTGTTTTGCCTTTCCTTTGCTGTGCTGCTGTAAACTGGATTTGTGAAATGATTCAGAGTAAAAGCCACCACCCTTCTTCCCTCAAAGCAGCAGCATGGAGACAGAAACAAGCATGTGACTGAGGTGGGGGGAGAGAGGTAAAAGAGAAGTGTCTTCAGGCAGCTCAGCAGGAGGAAACTGCAGGGACCACCATGCTGAAGATGAAGGCTGGCTGGGGGAACACTTGGGAATACAAAGCTTTGTGAGCAAGGCAATGGCAGGCTCTGTCTCAAATCAGCAGCTGTATTGAGAACTGCTTTGTTCTGCTTTTCCCCAACAGCTTTTGAGGGGAGTGAGTTTGTCTCTGAAACAGAAAAAAATCTGGCAGGATGCAAAGATGTGCTGGTCTTTTCTGGGTCTCAGAGCAGCCATGCATTGCAACCACCTAGGCAGGCAGGGCACTTCATGTTCATCTTCTGCTTTCAAAGGTCAGTTGTGCCAATGGGGTGGTACCAGGGTGGTGGCAGTGCTCATCCTCAGACACCAGATGCCACGTTTGCAGTAGTCCCCTCATCTTCTCTGTGGTCTTGCAGAGCATCACCCACATCAAGCAATGTCACTTCTGTGGTAGCAGCATCCCTTCCTCAGGCCATGCATTTGAGGAGGGCTTCCATGTTTCTCACATCTGTCCCCCACATATATACTATTCCCACAGTATACAAACACACCCTTACCCATGTGGGTTTTTTGGTTTGAGCAACTTTCCCAAGAGCTGAATCCCAGTTCTCCTGAGGTAGGATTTAGCAGCTGAGGGAGGAGTGCAGGCATGTGCTTGGCAGCAGTGGGGTGGCTGCTGCTGTCGGGCTGCATTGCCACCTGCTGGGGCCACACAGCCCCTTGCTGCAGTCACTGTCACCCTTCAGCACGGAATCCCCAAGCCAGCAACCCTGCCAGGAGAAAGAGTAGCCGGGCCTCTAATATGTTTCTTCAAGTGCTTATTTGGGGCAGATCTGCTGCTTCCTGCTCTGTTGGATTTTGTCTTTAGGCACTAATAACATTGGAAGTTGTAACTTTAGGGGTTTAGATTTCCTGGTGTGGGAAGTCAGGTTTCTTCCCAAGGTGTAGCTAAAGGGATGCAGGGGACACTTTGGCAAAGGGACTTGGGTCATTATGGTATGAGGGACCTGTGTTTGTTCTTCTCAATGTTAAAAAATAAAATAAAAAAAATCTCTTGCTACAAATCAACTATATGTGCTGGGAACTTGCTGGCCTGGGGCAGGACTTGTGGTCCTTTGGGACCAGCCACATTCCCTGTGTTGCCATCTGAAAACTCCACTTGGAATTGGCCAAGGTATTGCACTGTGGTGGGAAAACATGAACAAAGTAAGAAGGAAGGAGGGAAAGGCGAGATAGTGGTACAGAGGGATGCAAGTCAGATGAGATGCTAGAGAGAAATGAGGTCTGGCTAGACAGTTTATGTAAGCCAGCAGCTCTGTGCTCCCCTCATGGCTGCTTCTCTTTTGTGGTTTTTTGAAAAGTTAATATGCAGGAATTAGAAATGAAATAATTTGGGCAGAGGGCAGTAACATATCTGTCCTTCTGCTCTGTCCCCGTGTCACCTCTTTGATAGCTGAGGCTGCTGTCAGCTTTTGAGAGCTGAAACCACAGCAGGCTCTCAGGGGACATGCACACCTACAGATGGTGTTTGGTTTACAGTAGGTGGGATGTCTTTCATCTTGCCGATCACACCAGTATACGAAGGGGGTGAACGCAAACTGAGCCAGATGGTAAAGCATTCAGAATATGCTTTTTACTTATTTCTTAGGAGCATAAGGTACTTTTTTTTTTTTTAACAGAACACCACAATGGACAAACATAACCATCACCAAGTGTTAAATGTCTGTATTTCTGATAAAGTCCTTCTCAGGCAGTTTGCTGAAGCAGCTGTTGTGTTTTCAGGCTTTGTCTTGTTCCCTCTCCCTGTCTTTGGCATAAAGGTGGGTGGAAGTGGGCAGCACCACACCCCTGTATTAGAAAGGAAAGCTAACCAGAAAAACTGCACTATGCTGCTTTCCCATCCTCATTCCTGGACCTTCTCCCTCAAGACCTTTACAACAAACCTTAGTGGAAATGGAAACTGTAGAAAGCCAGGTTTTGTAGGACCTCAAGCAACCTAATATATACACAGGGTCACCTTTATCCATGTCACTACTGACAGTCTGGCCTTCAAACCTCTGGTGTTGGACAGTCACAACCTCCCTGAGGCAGCCTGTTCCTCCTTCTACTGAGCAGGAGGGTGCTTTTCTGGGAGGATCCACATCCTCCTTCTGGTGGCCAGCACTGCACACAGGTGTATTTTGGTGCAATTAACAGTAACCTGCAGGACTGTGGTCTCCAGTGGAAGCCACACTGGGAGGATGCAGTCTTGGATGATGGAGACAGCACTGCAAAAGGATGCCCTGGGAGGAAAGCACAGGACTGGTCTCAATGGATTGGAGATAAGAAAAGATGAGAAATACTCTTAACACTCAGGATGGGTGGGAGGCCACTGAGCCTCCAGGAGCTGCCAAAGTGGCTGCTGTGGCATATGTTGATCTCTTCAGACAGGAGGTAAAAATAATCCAAAGCTTGGTCATTTCAGCATTTTTATTAAACAGTTTTTTATTAAACACTCAGCAGTTGTACACATGGCCCTGACCCTCCCCCTGTCAGTGTACAAACCCTGGCAGGTTATGCTGTCATGACACTGACAGAGGCTGTGCAAACCATCTCCTTTACAGAAGCAGTACCCAGGAGAAACCCAGGCTCAGTGTCCCTACTCTGCTATTATACCAGCCAAGCTGGAAGGTAACTTACAGCAAGCCTCATGTGCTGTTTGATTAGCCAACTCCTGCTCCTTTCTTCTCTGCCACCTCCCTGTGTTGCTCAGGCCTTGTGAATGATAGGGAATGCCTGCTGCTGAGCCTGCATGAGCCTGAGGCTTCTAACAGCCCAGCCCCAAGCAGCTGAGCTCTTCTGTACTTCAGGCTGTCTTTTGGTGGACTTTCACAAACCTGTGATTGCAGCAGGAGCATGGGCTTTGAGGAAAAGTTCTTGAGGGGTCTGCCCACTGGGGCTGGGCTATCCTGCATTCAGGCACATGTGAGCCAGTTGTGTTAGTGTGCCAGGTTTGGTGGTCCTTTGTTGTCACTGGTGCACGAGTGTGGCTGTGCTGCCCTGCAGCTCTCACCTGCTCTTATGGCCTGAGCCACTCAGTAGCTGGGCCCTTGAAAGATCAAAACCCACAGCCACTCCTGTGCGGGCTGAGGAGCTGCTCTCAAACAGCACAAAGCAGTACAGCTGTATCTGGAACTTTCCCTGCACTCAGTGTTTAGTTTATGCTCAGTGCTAAGGAAGTGGTTTACAGGGTCAGGTCTCTGCTGCAAATTGGTGCAGCACCAGCTAAAGGATGGAAATTCAGATTTACCCCTTGTTAAGTATCTGGTCTGCTTGACAAGTCAAAGCTAGTTAACCTAGGGCAAATTTTCCAGTGGGGTAGATGTGTGTTGCAAATCAAACTCCAACAAGCAGTAGCAAGGCAAATGAGTGACTCAAATTATCCAGCTTTGGGAACGCTTATAAAAGAAAACATGTAAACAACATCTATACAGCTAATAGATTAAACACTGACAGAATTCAGTGGAATATATTTCTTTTTCCTTGTTGCTGATGCACCTGGCACCACCTAATACATGAATTTAAATAAAGACTGCAAAATAAACTCTCAAAACTAACCAGAAGAGACCACACCAGCAAGCATGCTTAGCTCACTTTTAGACTGGAGTTTTCCATTAGATGGCCCACAGACTAGCAAGGTTTAATGTCAGATGACAGTGGATTACTTGTCTGTCACTGGAAAAAAAAACGCACAAAAGAGCTATACGTAGCTTTGCCTTTAAAGCAAACAGTGGAAATTCAGGACAAGGCTTTGGCATGCCAGTTCCAGCTCTGCCACTTACAAGATGACGTTAACAACATATTAAAGACTCCGTAATCCATCACATTTGCCTCACGTGGTGCAGCCCAGCTACTGAACCACATACTCCCTGGGTGCTCAGTGAGAAAATGCTTAAAAACAACTTGTAGGGCCACAGCCTCAGTTTTCCATCTTTTGTCTTACATAGGCAACTAAATTCCTGCAACTATTTGTTAGCACAAAAAGAAACCGAACAGCCTAACTTACATTTAATAGAAACTTTTTCCCATGAAATGGGATACATAAAATAGCAAAACTCTGTAGCCAACAAAATACTGTACAGTTCTCCCTGCTCCCACCTGCAGCCCTGTGCTTTTAAGGGACACTAGCAAAATTTACATTCTGTCTTTTAAATTGAAGCAATGTAATAAGATGACTAGAAATGTTGGAGAACTCAGCATGCCCTCAAGAGGATGGATTTACGTTCAGTTAGGTGAAAAATGAATGATGAGTTTGGAAGAAGGAGAAAACAGCTTCCAACTGTGTTTCCACGTGTGGATGGATTCAGGCAGGAAACTGCCAAGCTCAGCTTCACAGTTCAAACGCAGGGAACTTGGCCTTGGTTGGCACCAGCAGGTCAGCAAGAAAGTAAATTGTTCCAGCCATTCCTGAGGACAAAAAAAACACACTGTGCTTGAGAGAGATTCCCTTTGGGCCCCATTTTTTCAGTTATCCAGGGGTGAATAAGTCATGAAGACAGAAGAAAAGGCCCTAAATAATTTCCAAGGTCTGAACCCAGGTTTCCCAAGCAGCTTTGGTATTTCAGTGAGGAAAGCGTTTTGATGTTGATGAAACATTGAAAAGCACCAGGGAAAACACAATGGGTCCTTCCCCCCTCCAGATCCCTCCCTTCTGCTTTACTGGTGCTCAAGCTTAACACTCTGAGCAGCTTTGCCCAACTCTTGTCCCTGCGATACTGCTGCCCGAGGTCCTCACTGATGGAACTGCCACTGTAAACAGACATTAGCCTGTGCTACAGGGAGACTGCTCCTGGGAACAGGGCAAAACCAGTGAGTACAGTCTCCTTTCCATCCTCTACACTGAGTTTTGCAACGGCTTCAGTGGCACGTGGGTTTGGTTTTCCTTGGTGCTGGACTAGTTCAGATCCAGGAGCAAAACACAATCCTAGAGACTGAGGTTACCTTCAAAGAGGGAGAATGGTGTGTCTGGAGTCCGGCACCCATGTTGGCCATAGCTTAAACACCACTCTGCAAACTGAGAAAAGAGGAACAAAAAGCGTTCAGATGTGGTTAAAGATAAATCTTGAACAAAAATATCACTCTCATCCTCACGCTGCCCCTTGCAGAGCAAGGCTTCTGTGGGAAATCCCTTCTATACAAGCTGTCACACAGTGACTGCACTGCTGAAGGACTATTCTGGTGCAGCTGGTCAGATGTCTGCATGTCTGTCATGCTAGAAATTGGCTTTCAAATGCAAAGGCGGTGCTGTAGAAGGCAGAAGGGAACAATCCCCTCTCCCTTCCTCAGGCTCTTACCTTGCAGGCCCTGTAGAGATATTTCATGTTCTGAGTGAGGTTGTACAGTGCCAGGAAGCTGTAAGCATTACCAGCTGTCCCATGGCACAGCCCGTAGCCTTTCTTCAGTAACCCATACTGCCAGATCACTTCTGCACACTGCAGGGCATCATTTAGGTACTGTTGCTCCCCAAAGACCTGCAGGGGCAAGAAACAGTCATCCTTGCTGAGGTGATTTGCTCCAAAGAGCATCCTTGTGTGTTGTGGAGGCCTGAGTTAATTAGTTTCTCTCCTGCTGGAAGTTACTTTGCTGTCTACTTTAAAGGAGGATGTTTTTGATATCGATAGAAGAAACAGAAACTTCACTCATGGTATCTCGGAATGCCCAAATAAGGAACAATATGATCTTAGAGAAGTCCTAGAGAATTTGGTAAAGATGTACTTAAACAAGGATGTAAACTAAGCTCTGTGTACCCAAACAAGATAAAATAAAGAACAAATGTAACAGTTTTTGGTGGTGGAACACAGCGATGCTGTACCCGCTGTAGATGCTCGAGAACTGAGGTCAAGACAAAACAGAAGACCCAGAAAGACCAAAAAGGACTTCCAATAGGGTTTTGCCTATGTAAACAAACTAATGAATATGTAAAGAGTAGGTGTAATAAGAAGCCCTGTCTGTCTGTCGTTTGGCACGTTTGATTAGAAGAGCTCTCCTCCAAATGTCCAGCATGCTGAATAAAGAAGAATGCCCTTTTTAACATCTACAAATTGATGTTAAGAAGTTTGTTTCTGCGACTTTTCAATATCAATATGATGAATTGGGATGTATGACCATTACTTCCCACACAACTAGCTGTCACCATCAATCACCTGTAACAGGACAACCCACACAACTGATGAGTATTTTCAGAAATATTTTTCAGAAGATTAATTTTCGTATCAGTTAGTGGTCCCTGTGTGGTGATTTCACTGTAGCAAGCCATCCTACTCTCAGGTGGGGGGGGTCTCATAGCATTTTCTCTGTGATGAAGTCCCACATTAAGGGTCCCCAAAGGGTCTTTGCAAGATTTCTGGTACCTTGTAGGCCTGGATAAGCATGTAGATTACACCTGGTGCCCCATGGCACCAGTGGACAAGCAGGTCTCTGGTGTCACCGATGCACGGAGGGTAATTCCCAGATGGGAACTTGAGCTGGCAGACATAGTCCACACTGGGCTTGATTGTGTTATGCAGCTTTACTTGGCTCGCTCCAAGGCCAGGCTAAGAGAGAGAAAGCATTAAAACAGGGAGAATTAGGTCTGTCCCTAAGAGACCCAAGATCTGCCTGAAAGGCGGAAAGAAAGCCGACTATGGCTACGTTCCCACTTGCTCCTTCTAAATCAAGTAATTTCTTTGGTCCAGGCTTTCACACTTCACAAATACCCACTCGGCCCCTGGTTGCTCTCTGTCTTTTGGCAGGGTCTTACTGCCAGTCCTGCTCTTGCATCCCAGAAACAAAGACTGTCCCTAGCATGTCACCCAGCACCCTAAGCAAGAGGGCTTGCTGCTCCTTTTCCTGAAGATAAGCAGGAATAACTTCCACACCCAGAGCTGGTGAAGAGATAAACTGTCTAAAATCAGTATTAAGGACGAGTGCCAGGGTTGAATTCTAGCACCTAGAGCATCTCAGCTGTGATGCTGCATTTTCACACATGTTGCTGGGTGATTTCAAGGGGGTTACCTCACTGCTGACCTCAGACGGAAGCAAGGGAGTGGCTTCAGTGTCCTCTTCCAATGACACCGCCCCCCACAAAATCTGTGCAGTTCTAATTTCCCACAGCAGACTGCAATGAGCACTCTCACCTAAGGATCACACTGTTCCCAGGTTAATAACTGGAAAATTAAAAATCAATACCTGTGCTGTAAAACCATGAGAGAGGAAAGATGTTTGTCTTTCATATTTCACTTGTTTGCTTCCCCCAAGGCTTTTTCTGCATCATGCTTGGCTGATCCAGGCTCCCTGTACTTCATATGGCAGAAGAGCATGAAGCCCATGCAGTATTTTATGGGAGGCTTACACTTAAAATTATTTAAAACATCAGCCTGGCAACAAGTTCAGACACTCCTGTCTCCCCTGCTCCCAGCTAGCTCTTCTGGTGCTCCTGGGCAATAATCACCTTGCATCCTTCTCTTGCCAAATCTACTTAAAACCCACCAACCACCCCTTCCTCTCTGAGCCACAGAGAAGGGTTATATTCACTGCAATTCTGCTTATCCTGTATGTGGGTTTTAACTTTGAGGGTCTTGAAGCAAAGCTCATATACTTGAAACCCGGTGGCTTTTTTTCCCCACCTGTTCTGAGAGTTGGGTCTAATAAAAGATATCACCTATTTTTATATCAAAATAATTTGCATTGCTCACGGGTGCTTTAAAAATGCAATGTTATTTATTGCTGTTATTCTTCTAAGTGCTTAAGCACTGTAAATTTATGCATAAAGTGACCTGCATAGGGGAATTATCACCCTCATTTTAGAGCCAGAGTAGGGAATATTGCCAGAGCTCCAATGAGTTGTACAAAATAGTGAGAAAGACAGCATCAAAGCAAAAGGGTACTGCAGCTCCCAGCCTCTCATCTTGCCCTGCCTGCTTCAGGGGCATGAAGATAAAGAACTCAGCTCTTTATCAAAGCAAAAAGTCCCACCTCTTTCACGTTTAGGAACAGGCCCTCCTTTGGATACAGAGGCTTATCTCACTTTCCTACTATGAATGCAATCTCTTCCACTGTGCTTTTCTCCCTGAGATTCTCACTCCAATGATCTGAGATTGCTCCAAGTAACCAGCTCAAAAAATGCAGGAAGCTCACACATACCAACAAACAGGAATACTTTATAAGCAATTAACATGAGGGGGAAATTCAGACCCAGCTGACCTCCAGGCCTCCATTATGTGACACTGCTGGTGTAATACAGGTCACAATTGTACTCTCTACAGCTCTCCATCAAGGAGATTCAATCTCAGTCTTGGAGAAAACCTTCGGCAGTGAGGATGTATGATCAAACACGAGTAAGTCCATCAGACAAGGGAGCTTTCCCAGCTTGACATCACCAAGAACCAATTCAAATGCTGCTCCTTCTTCAAAGAAATGTGAAACAGCTGCTAAGGGGACCTTCCCTCCCCTCCAGTGCCTCTTACCTGCATGAGAAAGTAGTAAATCCCAGCCAAACCATGAGCTGCCCCTACGTAATACTCCTGGTACCACTCATACATCAGGGGGCTCTTTGCTGTGAAATTCCTCTTTTTGGCCAGGTTCTCTCCTGAGGCTACAACTGCTTCCCAGACCTGTGATGGGAACAGATGTGGGTGAGGGAAATGCTGCTGTCTTGGACACACCACAGTGAGTATCCTGACACAGAACTAGAGTTGTTTTTCTGCCCAAGCAGAGGAAAGAGCATGAGTGAGGGAGTAAAATATATGCCAGTTCAGTACTGCTCATGGATTTATATGTACAGCAGAGCATGCGTAGTGCTTTCTCCCTTTGGAAGAAAAGCAGCAGGGATACCATGATGTGGCTTCTCCCTTACTGCAAGAGTTCTCTACATCTAGGATTGATTTTTACCTGCCCAAAGATGAGCTGCATGGGAAGAGACAGCAAAAGGCACAGTACCTGCTGAATATGACTTTTAGGGATCTTCTCCTCTCCGAAGTGCTTGTTCACAAACGTCAGTGCATAGAGGTAGCCCATGCGCCCATATAGCAGCTCATCGGGTACCCGTGGGTCAGCCTTGAGCAGGTGGAGCAAACTGGGATGAAAAATTCCCATGGGGGAGATTAGAGGACATTCAAAGCCACGTAACCAAGCACTGAGACTGGCACTCAAAACCATGGTTTGCTCCTTCATGCCCTGCCTGTGCCCTGGCAGACGTCAGGCCAGTCTCTGTGTCACAGCCTTCCAGCTACGCAAGGGGTGGAATCACTCCTTCTCCTCTGATTTTTGTTTGGCTTTTTTAGCCTGACCAGCCCTTTATAATGCGCTCACACTATGTGCTTGTGTTTTAGACCACCAGCTCTGGGAAAGCTACTTGAGGGGGAAACCTGGGCTAAATGAAATGGTCAGTATAAAGCTGCTCACTGCTCAGGAAAGGCTGCCCACCATTATTTCCCCATGACGCTGCTGGCAAGGCAAACCCTCTGCAAAAAATGACTACTTTCAAACTAAATTGGTATCCCTTTAATTTGGCTGCTTTGTGTAAAAGTCTCACCCCTAATGCTCAGAAATCATGACAGAAAAGCCTCTTCCTCTGCAAGTAGCCAGGGCTACGCTATCAGAAGAGAAAGAGGTGCTTCCATGAGCTAAAAATCTAAGGAGGTGGAGCTACAAATGTTGTTTAACATCAAGACACTGTGGCACATGTAAGAAATCTGGTCTAGGGAGAGCTGAGCAGCAGTGAGGACAGTTCAGCAGGGTGTGAGTGCTGTGGGCTGTCTGGGGACAACCTCACACTGAGGACAACTTGGCTGGCACCAAGCTTTAGCCCACAAGTGCAGAGAGTGACCTCTGCTGCAGACAAGTGTTTTCTTTGCCACTTTTCTATTATCACGTTGCAAAGTTGGTGATGTTCCTGTAGTGCTAACAGAGACTGACCACTCTTCACACCAGTGCTTTGTAGCCCAATTCACTTTTGATGCAATTTTTCCATTGTTTTACCTCTCATCACACTTCCAGCAGGGCTGGATTCCTTCCCTGTCAGAGCAGCAGGTGGCAATGTGACTAGATTTGGCTTTATTTTTCTGCTCACCCATGAGACAGTAATCTGAAAAGGTCCACCACTTTGCAAATACTAGCACAAGTGGCTGCAAGGCTGTTTCCTGAGCTGCTTCCCTGATGCAAAACCAGCCAGGAAAGCGTGTGTGCAGATTTTCCCTGTCACAGTAGTGAGAGGAAAAGAAAAGGTGCTTTGGCAGCCTTGGCTCCAGGGCCAAAAAATGTGTTGCCAAGAAAAGAAGCAACCAAATGTCCAGAGTACCCTCAGAGCAGAGAAAGGATGCTGGGCTGCGACTCCTCATGGTAGGAATCTTTCCCTGGCACTGGACTCAACGTGAGTAGGGATATTGAAGGAGAAAGGAGGGAGCACTGTCTCAAGGTGGACTGCCCTGTCTCCTATGTACTACTTAAAATGTGCATTGCTCCATGGCAGAGGTTTTTGATAGATTAAACCCAGGAGAGAGACTTTATACCCCAGGCTAGGACTAAGCACAGGTTCCTCTCTCAGCTGCAGGGGCTGAAAGGAAAGCCCTGCTGCCTCCTCATGGCCATTGTGTCCAAGTCCAAGGAAAGCACGATAAGGAGGGTTTCCAAGGAGAAAAGCAGTGTTTGGACAGATAGGCTCTGGCCAGCAGCAGGCTGGCCAGAGGAGATACTGGCTGGTAATATTGTTCAGCTCTGAGATGTTGGGGAAACGCTAGGTGCAATAGAAGGAATGGATGGATGGGTGAACTGTAATATCCACGGCAGTGATTTTCTGAGGTCTGGATGCGAAATCTTCTTTTAATGGGGAAATCCGGAGCAGCTGGAGCTACTATTCTTGCTCCTTATCCATTACTGCTTTCCCTCTAGCTGCTTTCCAGGCAGGATCATCAGGGGAGGAAGCCTGCCAGTAGTTTCTGCTGTTTTTGAAATGTGGCCATGCGTGCAACAAGAGATGCCTGGGATGCTCCTGGACAGATTGCACACCAAATGCATTTCTCAGGAGCGAGGGGTAAATCGAGGTCTCTGAAAGGAAGAGCCACTCTTATTCACTTATCTGCCTATTACCTCAACTGTCAACAACCAGCAGTTTCTGGATAGAGGGAAATCGAGTCAGCTGTATAGCAGAATGGGATTTTTATAAGCCACTGGCTCTGAAAGCAAACCTTTGACCTTGTGAATTGGTGGGAGGTGACAGGGAAAAGAGGGCTCCTGGAACATGGCTCAGGTTTTCACAGGCTCTTGGAAAATGCACTGCTCTGAAACAGTCTCTCTAGAGCATAAAGGCACATTTGTTAGTCATGAATTCATTTAGGAGAGAGCAAGCTTCTGTCTCTTCCACTGCAGGTAAAACCTGGCTGATGGATTCCCCCACAGGCTCTGTAAAGATGAGGTGCTTTAAAAGACAGAGGACAATATGGAGAGAGGTCCTTGTTCTCCATAGCTGTGAGAAAAGCATTTTCTTTCACTGCATAGCTTAGCAACTGTTCTGTAACTAAATAGCACACTCAAAACTCACTTAAGAATTTTGATTAAGGGAGCTACTTTTCAGAGCTACTCTGTTCTCAAGGAGCATGGTCAAATTACTGCTCTGGGAATTGGTGGCAGAGTAAGGACAGTATCACTGTTCCTTCAAGAAAGACACTTTCGTTTTTCCTCCCTTCAGATGTATTAGGAAACCAATTTCCAAGGTTCTGCCTTTATGATATCATTAGATGGCAATGCAGAATTAATCACAAAATTCCTTTCTGCCGCTGAACTGTAGGCAGAACAGGTGGGAACCAGGGAGAGGAGAGCTTGGCAAGAAAACATGAGGGGTTTTTTCCCAACCTGGGACTTTTGTATTGACCACAACTGACCAGCTTTGTCAGACTAGTTCCCTTTTTGTTAGCAAATATATTAAATCATAGTGAGATTTCCCATTTTGTCAAAGTATTAAGCAAAATCCAACCCACAGATTACTAAAAGGATAAAGAAGACAGTTCTGTCCTCAGAGTGACCGTATCCACATGAACCAGAAGCTATTCTTAGTTAAGGGAGCGGGAACTTTGTGTCCAAACCATACAGACACTTCTGATTCCCACCCATGGCTTTTTTTAATTGCTATTATACATCACTAGCTCGTGGCTGTTTAGGGGCACTCAGTGTTGTTCTGAAGCATCAGGGGTTTTGTCTTATTTTGTGCTGACCATGTGAAAATGGAAACTCTCTACTGGGCTGTTTCTCACCTTCTCAGAACTGATCTCCCTTATGCAAGAAACGCTTGCAACTGCATCTCCTTAACTCTTTTCCTTCCTCTGCCACATGCTGATCTAGGGTTGCTTGTTTGTTCTTTTCTTGTCTTAAGTACCCAACAAAAATACATTTGAAAAGAGTCTAGGAAAGGCAGGAAATAGAAATAAATTAATCATGACCAGCTGCATTCAGCAGTTGAAAGGGATGCTGTCAATCTTAGGTTTAAGTCAAAGTCAACTAATAAATAGCAAGTGGAAGCAAGTGCCAAAATTAAATCTAATAATTCTACCACATTTCTCCTTTTCATCAAAATGGCTGTAAAACTAAATTGAAGTGTTCTCAAAAAAACACCAAACCCCACCTTCTGTATTTTTCTTTTGTTTTTTATTTTGGCACTTTTTTCTTCCTGTGTTTATCCGAATTATTTTTAAGATGGCAATACCAGCTGACCAATATCCTTGCTCCCCATGCTGCCATGCAAGTGTGTTTGTCCTTAAGCCACCTCTTTCATCAGGGCAGAACTAGTTTGTACTGCCTTCCTCAGTTACTGGATTATTTCTCACACAAGACTGCAACAAAATGTATTCAGGCTTGGTAGAGGGTACCCCATACAAGCCCAGACCAGCTCAATGAGCAAGGGGAACATTAGGTCAGAGACATAACCAGGTGTTTTACCGAGTGATGCAGTCTTCTGCCTGCTTCTGGTTGTGCAGTTTGTGGTAGACGACAGCGGCCACTGCCAGGGGCCCAGCATCGCCACACAGGAAAGTGATGGAGCGTCTTGTCAGGCAGCTCAGGCTCTTCTTCACGTACTCGTGGGCTACCTGAAGGTAGGCTGGGTCTCCATACACATCATACAGGTGCAAATACAGCAAAGCAATGCCTGAAAAAAGAACATGGAGGTTGCACCCACCAGAAAAGTTTAATATTTCTGCTCTCTGCCCTGGCTGTTATAAGGAACCTAAAAACCCATCCCTCTGCCTCCTTTAGGGTATAAGCCTTATAGACAGGCTTCTCAGGAACATCCAAGGACATAATTTTGAGCTGCAGCATCCACAGCTTCTTTTACTGCTTTGCAACCTCCTTGTACCTGGTGTCACTCGTGAGTGGACAGCAGGTCAAGACAAACAGCAGTGTCTGACCCATGAGTGCCTGGAGAACACCACACAATTACATACAATTGTAGTAGCAAGGAGCAAAAGATGAGACCTAGACAAACCTACCTAAGTCCATAAATTGTACCTGTGACTGTTGGTCAGCAGTGGAGGGAAAGAAAATCTTTGGGCAAGATGGTACTTGTGGCAGAGCAGTGCTGAGTTGTTACTATTTTTTTTCCATACCAGGTAAAGGGCTGGGTCACTTGGCTTGGATTGGATTTTAAAACAAAGTGACATGCCACCACGATGGAGAAGCAGTATCCTTAGGACATCCTAGTTGACTCTTTCTTTTTTTTTTTCTTCTTTTTTTTTTTCCTCCCACTGGGAAGCACCAGCAAGGTTGTTACAGCTCCCTAGACACCATCTCCTGCTGCTGAGCAGGTGCCAAGCCCTACAGCAAGGTCTGGTGCACCCTAGAAAAAAACCAGGGGTTGCTCAGCTCTCCTCTTCAGCACATCACTCATGAGATCAGCCCTTATCTGAAACACAAACAGCTACCTGGAATGCTGGAAAAGGCTGCATGGTCCTCTCTGGAGGTTTCACAAAAATGTCACAGAATATTCTTGAGTTGGAAGGGACTCACAAAGATCATAAAGTCCAACTCTTAAGTGACTGGCCCATATTGGGATCAAACTCACAACCGTGGTGCCATTAGCACAAAGCTCTGAGCTAATCTCAGGGATGTTTTCAATGGGCTGGTCAGCTACAGAAACAACTCCACTACTGAGCACTCAGATTACTGGCTGTCCCTTGCCTCTGTCTGTCCTGTCTTCATCCAGCTCTTGAAGCTTTTAGTAGGTAACTGAGGAGTCCTCAGTAAGGCTGTGTCTAAAAGGTCTGCCACATCTGAACCATCCTTCTGATCTGGGAGGCATCCTCAAACATGCACTTAAGAAAGCTACTCACCTACATCACTTCAAGAAAAGCTTATTTCTCCCCGACCAATAACCATTTCTAAGAAGACTCAGGTCCTGCATTTAAGCCTAAATGAATAGAGCCAATCTCTGCAGATTTTGATGTGATAAAGTGAAGGGGGCAAACATGCTGTAAAATTACTTTCCATGGTACTGAAGACAATTTCAAAATTAGATCAACTTCTCATTTTGCATGCGTAATCTCCAAAGTTTTGGGCTACAGACAAGTCAATTCTGCATTTATATCATGTATAAAATTTCCTTTTCCTGCTAAAGCTAATAACCTTGTCCTCTCTCTAAGCAATTCAGTGCTAGTAATTCCAGAGAGAGCTCAGATGTACAGTGCCATCACTCAAGCATATAAGGATGTGGATATGAAGCCCTTCTTTGAAGGGGAACCCTCTTTTTCCAGCTAGCAAATGTCAAGTGACTCTCCTTGATTTATTTAGCACCTAGCATAGCTTCTAGACTCTAACAGGCCTGATAGTTGTCTGAGCACAACTTGCACTCTTATCTGCTTTAATGTACAACTTTTAGCTTTGTAAGTAGCTTCTATTCCCACTACCATCATACCACCCTAATTATGTACATAACTACCATGCCAAGAGTACTGCTAGGGTTGAATTCTTAGAACGTGAATGTCTCAGCACTGTTTTCCTCTGACTTCTTTGCCTCTTCTATTTTAAAACATTTCTCACCCCCTTTCCTCCCAGGCCCAAGTGTCTTTGGAAAGACTCCAAAAAAACCCCCACCAACCTGTACTAAAGGATGAAAGTTGCTTCCCCAAATCATTCATATTTCCCTTTTTTTTTCTTTTTTTTAAACCCAAAGTCCTTAAAAACTGAACTTGAAGTAAATTTTCTTAACTCATTCTTCATGGAATTTGTACTCTCAAGCTGATCCCAAGGGCACAAGCAGTGCTGTCTTCAGCCAGCTGCTTGCTGGGTCTGTGAGCCCCAAGGTGGGAAAGGCTAGCAGAGAAGGGCAGGCCCACGCATAAAGAGGAAATGCTGACAGATGTATGCAGAGGGACACAAAATGCAGCGATCTGGGTGGGGGATATCCTGTACTGACCCATGTGCCAAGATGTAGGTAGAGTATTTCAGAGGCAGTGCAGGTTGGAGAAGAGTTTTCACCCAATGAACTTGGCTCAGCTGGGCAGTGTTGCTCTGGAGAAGCTATTCCATAGCTCTGCCTCACTCTCTCTCCCATAATACCCTCCTCATTCTAACTGACCAGGTAGGATTTGCTGACTGACCAGGTGTTCGTTTGGCATGCTTTATGTGCTGTACATCAGTCACATGGGGCTAGATAAGCTGTGGTCTGCTCCATTTCTCTGTGTCCTGGAGTTCTATGTTCAGTATCCCAGTTGGAAATGTGACCTATTTTTGTGACTTCTGAGACTCCTGACTGTTTCCAGCAGAACTGCCACACAGTGGCTTCCTGTGGCCTGCCACTGCCAAAGACATCTGGGCTTTGTTCTGTTGATCGCTTACGACTGGATGGACCACCTCCTCTGGAGTTTCTCAGATGTCCAAGTTTTTTGCTCCTTGTCATGTAAGACCTGCTGCAGAGCCACATATGATGGGGAACACATCAGGCAGCCCTTGATGGTGCAGGCCTGCAGTGAACACATGCTAGTGACAGCATATCCTTCAGCAGGACTCCGAAGACTGAAACTGCCACCTCCAGTGTGGAGTGTCAATGCCTGAGATGATCACTGCAGGAAATCGGGAGGCAAATTCTGCAGATGCCAGAAAAGTTCGTGCTCATGAGCTAAAGCACTGCTGAAAGAGTATCTCATCCATATGACCATTCTGTTGATCAAAGAGAAGTAAAGCTATGACTCAACTTCCCTGCAAGTTTGGACTTGCTTTTTATGTTGGATTGCACTACCACTGCAAGCAGTTATGCCATTCTGACTGTTCTGAACAAGATGCCTCCTTGCCCACCAGGAGCTGAGCTGCAATGTGGTCCTTCCACAAAGGACAGCAGTCTCCCAAAAGGGGAAAATCTGGTCACCAAATCTGGACCAGTTCCAAACTGACCATCTACAGCCACAAAGACCTCGGAGATCTTGTGTCGACCCAGGGAAGTAAGTCAGCCAGCACCCTCAAAGCAGGATGTCAAACACAGAGGGAAGAAGGAGAAACCTATCTCTGCACATAGTGATGAAGCCTGGTAGTGTCTAGTGAGACAGCTGATTTTAATGAGACAGCTGAGTCATTTTAATGCATGGGCTAAAAGAGCAGGGATGGCATAGCTTTATTGTCCAGCTCAAAGTATAATAAGCATCTTTTCTGATGCAGACGCATGGGATGTTATCTTGTGCTCCTAAATGCATGCCAAAGCCATGCAGACATCTCCTCTGGAAGGCTGTATCATCCAAGTTCAGAACTTGTGGGGAGCCACAAGTGCATTTTACTACAGCTTGCCTCAGTGCACTGTGGGACATGGGACATTACTCAGGTGCCTCAGCCTCTCTTGCCTTACAACCTGGGTTGCTTCTTTTCTAAAACTTTTTACTCTATCATAAAATCCTACAACAGGTTAGGCTAGGAGGGATCAATGGAGGTGATCTGAAGATAAGGCCAACTTCAAATTTACCTGGCGTTGCTTTGAGCCTTGAGCAGTCAAATACTTACAATCTCCAAGAAATGGAGATTTCACAAAAACTACCCAGCAAGCACTTGGCAGGAATGTGGTTTATGTGGGTGACACAAAGCACTCTATTATCTGTCACCAAATGCAGCCTCACTGACTCTTGTTCTGTAGGGATTATCTGAGAAATTCCATTTTTCTAAGCAGAACTCTCATCAGGAGACTCAAGTTCTCTGTGTTTTGAGGTTAAAATGAAAATATTGCACTAAAGTGAATGAAAGGTGTTTTTCCAGAAGCTTTCCTGAACTGGTACGGTTGAACTTCTATTCATTCTTAACTGACTTCTGTTTCATCTGGTGGGTCTTTTGAAGAGTCCCCTCAAAAAGGCAACTCAGTCCTGCTCCTCATCTCCAGGGGCAGACGGGCCAGCCAAAAGCTGTGGATTGGACAGGCCAACTGCACTCACCAGTCTGTTTCAGAGGCCCTCGAGCTCTGAAAGACATGACATTGCCAGAGAAGGGAATGCTCACATGGGAAACAAATTCCAAAGGCACTGCCATAGGGTGGAGGAAGGGGAATCTCTCCCTTAAATACCGCATCACCTTGGAAGGACACAACAGTCCAGCTGGCACCAGACTCAGGAGATTCCTAAGCATCTGCAGCTGGCTGAGAGGTGACAGGAGTGAAGTCAGTTTTCCTTCCTTTCCCTTCCCATCATTTATGGGCCCAGTCAAGGCAGTCTTTGGAGCAAGGCTTTTTGCACTACAAGAAATACCAACAGGCATGTACGTACTCCTCAGAACCCTCGCGCTAATCTTTTGAAAAGAGAAGAGGTAGCTGTACTCCTGCCAGGATCTGAACTGCTTCCAACTCTGAATTAGCTTACAGCAGTTTACCTTCCCTCAGTCAACACTGTGATGCCAGTGAAACAGATTAAGACCACAAAAGCTCTTCCAGCAGTCTTGCTAAACTGATTAAAAGCCAAAGCAGAACACAACAGCCGAGGCTGGTCCATACCCAGGCATGTACCAGATGTTGCCTATGAGGCTCTGGTCTCTTCTGAATGAACTGAATGAAACAATAACAATCTGATTCAAACGTGTTTTGAGGGCACTCAGCCTCAATAATCTTGATCCAAAGTGTGTTGCCACTGCCTCTGAGCTGAAAATATAAGTCCTTCCCTATGCCGGCATATGCTGCGTATTACCTGAGTGTAATGTACTACACTCAAGTATGTTCCATTTCACACAGTTTGTGCCAAGAGAGCCATATTTCAGATCTCTCTTATTAGTGGCCATGAGTCTGATTTCAGACTGCTGGGCAATGATTTACATGAAGAGATAACCAACAAGCCTTTTCTACATAATCAATTACAGGAAAAAGCTGCTGTCTAGGCCCAATTAATTTTGTCTCTGGAAACCAGCACTGAATAAATTAATATAGCTAGCATTAGAAAGAAGGGAGGGTGACAAAGTTACAGTGTAATATCTGCAACCTTCGCTCCGCTGGCTGTGACCTGCAGGAAATCTGCCCATGGGTTTTTTTGTAATCCTATTAGCCAAGGCAAGAAGGTGGTGTGCTCGTGAGGAATGATCTCTGGAACAAAAAGAGATGACTCCCTCCCGAGAAGCTCCCTTCCAAATAAAAACAAGCTGAAATCCTACCAGAGCTCTAAACCACTGTTTCACAACTGCAGTCACTTTCCAACATGAAGCTCCATAAGACCACCTTAAGAGAGGAAATATGGCCTCTGGGGAAAGGTGTCTTCCTTTTCCCCTAAGAATTTAAGTGTATTCCCAACATCAGTTAATTGTCCTCCCACTTTACCTCCTGAATTATTCTGGCCAGAGGCAGACTCTATCATCATGACTGAAGACCATCTTTATGTGTGGACTGCTTTTCATTGCAGGGGACCTCAGAGCAGGGTCACACAGCCTAGAAGACTAAATGCATTTTCCAAGGAGAAATCAGCCAGCACTGAGCAAAAATGCATAAATTCACAGGCAGTAGGAGCAGAGTGCTGCCAGGCAGCAACTGATGAAATCAACATTCTCCCACGCTGGAATTTAATACTGGCATCCTAGCATTTCTTATAAGCTGCCTGTCTGCCTTACTAAAAATTTTAAGTAGGCATTTCTGGAACCGTGGTCATCAAGCTGCAACTTCGGTTTAGCACCAACATAACGAACACTACTCTCCCAAGCACACTGTTGGCATCAAGTTCCACAGCACCCACACACAAGTGCTTTTAGCCATACCCAGACTGTGCTGCAGAAAGTTGCCATTTAGGATCACAGTGTACTGCCAAAAAAAAAAAAAAAAAGGCAGCAGCAGCAAAAAATCTTGCAGCAAGCATGAGATTAATTGCAGCTCCCCTGGGGTCTCTCCCTAGGGCCTGGCACAACAGCTGACAAAGCACACAGCAGCAGCTAAGGATGAGGCACAGTGAAAGGTGTGTCCTCCCTGGCACCAGTGGGTAGGAATAGGGAGGAGAAGACGGCACGCTACCAAGGAAGGAAAACTAGGATGAAAACGCAGAACAGGAGAAAGACAAACTCCTGGAAGCTTTGCACACAAGAGTTAGAGTGAGGAAGGCTTTCACACTTTGTTATACTCACATTTGCGTTTCTGCTCCTTCCAGCAGGTATTGGAGCAGGACTAGCCCTGGCTAAGTAGAGGGGCACTACCTGGGGAACAGGACTGAAGAAACCTGCCAATCAGACAAGGTCATCAGATAAAATTCAGCCCAAACAGAGAACATGGACACTATTTCAGGCCATCAGCTCACTGCTGCCATTACAAGGACTCCTTGCAGGTAACTGACCTACCATGTGCACCTGCCTACTTCATGGAGCACTGGATGGAGCACTGGTTTTGTCATCATCCCCACCGTGGCCAGATTTGGAGCCAGTCCCTTCCGAGGCTCCCACGTCCGCTCTCAAGCAGGTGCTGGCTTGCTCCGTTGCATAAGCTCAGCACTATTAACCAAGAGAAGACACAATCCTGCCCTACCACACTGTCGTCTTCCCTCTGCAACTTCAAACCTGCTTCAAAACTGAGGAGTCCTGAGAAAGACATCCCTTGTTTTAATGGATTAAAACATGTGGAAGAAGCACCGTTCTTGACATGGATCTACTCTGACCATTCCAAAGGCCAAATCCCCACAGTCTGCCTTGGCCTGCCTTAGTCTCCTCTGGAGAGCTCCTGCCCCATGGGATCCGACCCTACCTGCCCAGCCGGTGTACGCGGTGCAGTCGTGCGGGTCGGCGGACTTGAGGCCTCTCTCCATCTGCTGCAGCAGCTCCCTGACTTTGTTATTCAGCCGCTGCGTGAATTCGGGGGTTAGCTGTGGAGAGAAAACCCACCACACGTGAAGGAAACACGGGCAGGCGGGCATTGGTACACCGGGGACACCCGGCGGGCGCATAGCCAGGGTACCGCATGTTTTAACCAGGCAGGTCTCTGCTCTGCACACCCCGGGCAGCTCCCCCGGCCCCGCTCACCCTCCCGGCCGTGTCGAAGTAGCCGGTGGCCAAGGACTTGTCGTAATCCGCGTAGGGGTTGGGGAGCGCTCGCTGCGCCATCCCGTCCCGCTCGACTCGGCCCGGCCGCGGCCCGCCCCGGCTCCGCCCCGGAAGGCGGCGGTGGCGCGGCCGCTGCTCGTCCCTTCCCCTTCCCGCCCCGGGGGGAAAGGGTTTATTGCCGCCGGCCGGCTGGAGCTTGTGGGCCCTTTTCTGGTTGGCCTCATAGGGCTTAAGGCACGCTGCAGCTGGCCCTGCCGCATGTTGCAGCAGGCTCTGTGTGATTTAGGGGCCCGTGTGGAGTTTAAGGTCCCTTGTAGCTGGCCCTGTGGGGTTTGATGGCCCATTGCTGCTCCGCCCGTGTGCTTTAGGGAGCCTATGGAATTTAAGGATGCTTGCATCTGGATCTGTGGGGTTCAGATTACGCTGTGGGGCTAAGGGTCCCATGTATCTGCCTCTGTCTGATTTAGGGAGCCCTGTGGGATTTAGGGCTCCGAACAGGTGGCATTGTGGGGTTTAGGGAGCCTCGTGGGATTTAGAGGTTTCATGTAGCTGGCCCTGTGGGTTTTGGTTCAGCTGGCCCCATAGGACTGGCAGGCCCTGTGGGTTTAGGGCCCCTTGCACCAGCCCCTGAGGATTTTGAAGTCTTGAGGGGACAGGCACCATGTGGGTGTGGTGTCCAGCTGGTGACAGAGAGTCAGTGCAAGGAGCATGTGTTGAGTTCTGCTCCCCTCCAGCAGCAGAAGTTCCTCACTTGGGTTGGGACCAGGCCTGGATGGGGATCAGGGGCCCTTCCTTGCTCTACCTTGCTGAGCTGCTGCATCTCACCTGTGCTGTCTGAGCCACATACTCCTCGAAAAGAGGTAAGGTCCCTGGGACTCAATGGCCTGAGCAGTGTTTTTCATCCCAAATGCAATGTAGCTGTGCTGCCCTGGCATTGGGGATCTCCCTGCTGTTGTTCTGGGGCAGTGTGACCCTTTAGAGCTGCCCACATACAGTGTACCCATATACAGGTACCAGGGAGCATTCACTGGGCTCTGTTGTCCTTGTGTGCTGTATTTCTGCACCCAGGCCTTGCTGCCTGCACAGTAACTGCTGTCACTGGGCCCAGCTCCCCTTTTCTATTCATATGCCCGTTTTTTATTACAATATGTAAAGTCAGAGCTCAAAGGAAAAAAAAATAAATTTTTTCAGGAGATGGTGACAAAAAAACAGAAAAGAGGGAACCCCAATTATTCGATTCCTTTTTCAGTCAACTGTTCCTTGTTTAGTGAATTTCAATCATGTCAACTTTGCATTCAAGGCAGGGAGACGAAGTCCAACCCTTCATTTTTTTTTTTTTTTAATTTTTAAATTTTTTTTATTATTATTTTTTATTTTATATATTTATTTGTATGAGAGGATTTCCTCGGAGCTGGTGTGCCTGGTACCATGTGCTTATATTTTGCTTTACGGCATGCGAACCTGAGCGGAGCAGTTAATAGGCGAACAGCTCTGTAGCGACCTGTCTCCGGTGTCGGTAGCAGCAGCAGCATGCCATTTAAGCTATTACACATCTCTAAATGCAGCGTGGTAGCTTTAGCCGATCGTTCAGGGCTCAGCCACTAGATGACTCTGTCACACAAGGAAGAAGAGGGACGAGCCCGGCTCTGCTTCCCGCACCGCGAAGCAGCCGTGCCCTTGTAGGTGCGGAGCGGGGGGATGTTTGCTGCGTGAGTAAGCAGCAGAGAGCAGTGGTTCCGTGCATCAGGCCAGAGCTCCTTGGAGAAACACGCGTAGCAATCCTGAGGTTTAGGCACAGCACAAAAAGAAAATGGATCAGCAGGGCTTTTCCGCGTACAGCTCCGCTGAGACTGGACCTCACTGTCCCCAGGGAAAGGGCTGCCCCTGACTAAAACACTGCAGAAAGGCAGGCTTGGATGTGGACCTAAGAACACTATTTCATGCTCTGGACGTGTTCCTAACCCTGCAGGGTTTATTTTTCTCTGGAAAAACAGAGCTGGTGTACTGAGGATTATGAAAGGAGGACTCATCCCGGCTGACACAGGGCCAGCACAGCTGCCTGTTGCTCAGCCACAAGCCATGCTGGCCGTGCCAGGAGATGGTGCCACGCTTTGTTCTCCAGAGAGTGACATCTCTTGATGGGTTGCTGCCTGTAACACAGGAACAGAGCTTGCTGTGTGCCGGAGAGTTTCCTGCTCTTCTTGCATTTTAGATATTTTGCCCTGTTTTTGGTTTCAGAAGCGCTTTTCAAAGCTTGGCCATTAAGGATTGAAAATATTTTGCCAACCCATAATGTTGCTCAAAGCAAAGGGGCAGTTTCTTCACTACATTCTCACTCTCGTGTCTTACTATCTTTCATATGTATTATTTAAGGCAAGTGGAGGGTGGGAAAAGGAAATGCATAACACCACAGCATATCCAGTGTGGTGAGCTTGTAAACTGATAACTTTCAAAAGATAAAGAATTTCTCATTCCTTATTTTGCTTCGATATTTTTCAGTTATTGTTTATTTGCCTTTTGGAGAAGCCTAAAATGGGTCACGTTGTGACTTTTTCAGGGGAATGCAAGCAATGAAAAGATTAAATTGATTTCAGTTCCCCATGTGATCCTTTGCAAATCTGGAGAGAGTATATGTTAGCTGAATGGCAGGACGGATAGAAATGCTTTTAGGCAACTTTTCTGGAGAGCATAGTGGCTATCAAAATGGGTGCTGTCCCAAGAGAAGGAACATAGTAGCTTGAAACAGATTTATTCATGTCTTTAGCTGCATCTCATGGAACCCATTTTCCTGGACAAAAAGCAGAGTTTGCAACAGAAAGCAGTCTGAATTGCCCCAGCTTCAGCCATAGTCATAGCTGGTACTAGGCTGATGCTTAAACACAGGTCTCCATATTTCTTCCACCTTTATTTTTCCCTCTGGATTCTTGCTACTGAAGCAGCAGCCTTTTCTGCCTCTCCCAAGCAATTATTGACACTTCTGGTGCCTGTGAAATCACAGTCCATCTGTTGTAGAGAGCTGATAATGAAAGGATGGTGGCAAACAGAAAACTGGAGGCATTCGCATTGTATCAGCATGGCTGTTCTACCTGCTGGATCTCACAGATAAATGTACTAGGTAGGGGCAAAGTCTGATGAAAAAACCTGTATTTACCAGGATGAGGTGTTGTGGTAATGGTCAGGGGAGGAGGATGGCTGGGGCAAAGCCTGGAATTTGTATGGATGAAGGCTTTAAGCTTCACAGGAATCAGCAGAATAAAAAGTTTGAGTATTTTCCAAAGTCATGGCTTGAGACCAATTTCTTCTGCTATTTGTGCTGGAAATCAGACCTATGCTGCCCAAAATGAGCATCCAGACTCTTCAAAGCATGCTTCTGAGTGTGCTGCAGCTGTAGGTGGATTGTTAGGGCCAGAAGGGAAGGAGAGAGAGAATTTGGCTATCTGGAAAGGTTAAATGTAATTGCAGGAATGCATGACTGGCTGACTCCGTGGTAACACTTCTGTAAAGCACTCTTCTGGGGTTGGTATCCCTACCACCCTGCCTACCAGCTGATATTCTCTTTCCACTGTATCAGTATTCTGTATTTTTCAATCTGTATTTCCTCCCTCAAGTCAGAAATGATAAACTAAAGCTCTTCTTGACCACGTAGGGCCTATATAAGTCAACTCCTCATATTTGCTGTGGTCTCCAAAGCACAAGCTGTCATTGAGACCTCTGTGATCAGAGTAATGAAATGAAAACTTCTCAGTTGTACTTAGCTCATGTGGATTTTTGTCAGGTTAGTGCAATTTCATTGCAATGGATGTGGTAGTTTATGGTTGGTTTGGTTATAATAGATTGTAGTATGATGGAATCTATAGGAAGTGAAAATAAATGAATAGAATTGATTTTTTTTAAATTTATGGCAGTGGATAATGATGGAAAACTGAGTATTTAAATTAATTTAATCAGTACAGGATAGTGAACAAGCTACCTTTGTGCTACTCTGCTTTACAATTTGATTGCTCATTTTACTAAAATCTGATATAATTATGACCACATCTGTTCATGAAGTTAACTATCTCAGCACTAAACTCTGTGTTTAGGGCTCTTAGTTGCAGGCAGCATAAAGACACCTGCATATATTTAATATATTCAGGCCCCAGCGTTGACACTTGTGAGTCCCAGAGATGTGGGTGTTTGTTTTCTTCTTCTGATGTCACTCCTGACTTGGGCAGTGCAAGGAACTCGATCCTAGTAAGTTCAGAGGGCAATTGTCAGAGCATTACCCAGACAGGCCTTTTTGGTGTCTCCAGCTCTGTGGTTACTTCTTGTGTTCTCACAGAGGGAGTTTAGAAAAAAAAGGAAAAGCATTTTGTGTTACCTTGGCCTTATCGGTGTGAACAGGGGCTCCCTAGTTTTCCTCAGTGATCATATACTTTGTCTTTCCTGAAGCTGAAAATGGCAAAATGGTTCAGTATTTGAGATCCTGTCTTCTTCAAATGAAAGAACTAGGACCCTTCTGCCTTTGGACATATTTCTTCCCATGGGATGATTAATTTAAATCCTGATGAACATTTTTTGGTGTCAGAGTGAAATGAGTGATGGGGACATTACACTGCAGAATATCTTCAGGGGGAGGGCAAGCTGATTGCACCCAAAGCCTCAGTGCTGGTCCCACTCACGTCAGCCAGGGCTGTGTGCCCTCTTTTAAGGTGGGCAATAAAAGCCCATGCTCCAAAGCACAGACTCTCTTTAGGTTGTTGTGGAGAGGAGCCTATTTCTGGGAATTTTGCTAAGGAAAATGCTGATGTGAAGGGCTGTATTTGTTGAAGTACAGCAGTATGTATTACCCCCAGCCACCAGTACAGGCTGGGGGCTGACCTGCTGGGAAGCAGCTCTGTGGAGAAGGCCCTGGAGGTCTTCATGGACAACAAGCTGTGCAGTGTGCCCTGGTGGCTAGGAAGGTCAATGGTATCCTGGGGGGCATTAGGAATAGCTTTACCAGCAGGTTGAGGAAGATGATCCTGCCCCTTTATTCAGTCCCAATGAGGCCACATCTGGAATGCAGTTCTGGGCTCCCTGGGACAACAGAGACATGGAGCTCCTGGAGCAGATCCA